AATTCCAGAAAAAACAAAGGCTGCAACTCAGCTACCATCATCAAAATATACTAAGCCTATATTTGCTGAGTATGAATGCTAATTCACCTATAACATGCCTATCAGAATAAGCTACAAGTTACAACTTCAATGATATAAATTCTAAAATTAGCCCTGAGGCTTCCTAAGTTTACCCCACTAATTACTTATACAAAACCTGCAATATACAGTTAATTAATAGAAGATTAACATCTTTAGCTTTTAACTACTATAGCGAAACAAGAAACCCTTTTACAGCAGCCCTACATATTATGACAAGCACCTCACATAAAACAGTTTCCCCATTCAATAAGTCTTTAACGTCCAAAGTAAAATGAATACATTCAAACAGTACACATAAAGATCAGTTGTTTTTAACCCCTTCATGTTGTTTTATCATTTCAGCTCAGGCACAAGACAGGAAGAAAAATTTGGTGACTATCCTGTGAAAGTAGGTTTTCTCAGGGCACTCCTGCCCCCTCATCAAATTCCATCTGGCACTTGGATTTAATGATCTCTGCCTTGGCATTGGATTTACAGATCCAAGCCACCAGTGATTCTGACCATGGGGTGTTTGTTACAATATGGTTTGTCGAATATTTGTCGCCTTGCTTCTTTTCTTCAATTACATCATCAACCTCGATCCTCTCTCTCTCTGCCTCCAGACCACCCCAGACTTGTCTCTAGTCTTTAAATCTGCCATAGTGAAACAGTTGATCAATCTTTCAAAATTTATTAAATTCACAAACTCAATTTATTGTGAGCAGGATGAAGGGGGATATTAATATCTCTGAACACCCCAGTTTGGGAAGTTTCTTTACTTTGAAAACTAAATCCCTGTCACAGATTTTTTTTTTTCCATATTATTAAGCAGCTTGTTTATAAGGTGGTCAATAATTGATCATGAGTTGTTACTGGCTGCACCTTTGAAGATGATTGGTAATCAGCAATCAGACTGATTGTTAGACCAAAGGATGTCTACTTTGACTTATAATTATTACCTAATGATTACACACATTATTTTAAATTGATGAAAATTTACCAGTTTTAAAGTGAGCATTGGTCAGGATACATCACAGACAACAAATCTTTCATTTTCTTCAAACCCCAACACAAAGTCACAAACATCAACATGCATATATACATTAAACAGATTCAAAATTAACAGGATATCATATGATATAAAGATAAGGCATAACTGTTATGAGGTGCCTCAGCACTACCATTATTTTTGTAGCTTTAAGTTTTGCATTCAGATTACAAAGCTTCACCCTCAGAATTTGACACCAAAGGATATTTCATCCCTGTTCTGAAATCCCATACAGAACCGTACAGCTCCATCTTTAAATGTATTTATTGCTAAAGGTAGCTTTCACATCCACATGTAGCTGTAAACCAGAAAGGGCTTGCTGTAGCTGGAGTCTCTCCTGCAGTTTCCATGGTAAGATCAGTTAATGTATTTGCATATGAAGGTTTTGTCTTGGTCTTCATCTGTATGGAGTGGAGTATCATCATCAAGTGATTGAAATACTATTCTTTTTGGTTCCTGTGCCAACCATAAGCATGTGGATGCACCAGAATGAAGTGCTTATGATATTAGCCTTGCTGCACAGTTCACAGGGTTCATGCAGTATATGGTAACTACAATTCATGGACTTTTTCAAGGACCAATATGTGTTTTTCAAGAACAATAATTTTAATTCAATAAAATTTATTTATATATACCAAAAGTCATAAAAAATAACATTCCTTAACATTTAGTATTACATGTAATAATTTTTAACTATTTTATTATCCTTTTCTATGTCTTAAGAAAGAACCAAATATCATAGAATGTTGTATTTTACTTTGAATTAAAATCTAAAACTTCAGATTCAGGGTGTTTTTGACAGTACACATCTTCTAACTCAGCCTTCTTCTTTCAAAGAGCTTTTCTAAACAGTTCAATTTGTTTTTATAATCTTGCTAATTTCCCAAAACAGTTCCATTTTCTTTTCTTTTCCTTATAACAAATCTTATAAATCAGCTGTCTTTTCTTTCACAGATTTTCTGAAACATTCCAATTCGATTTTTTCTATTATTTCACAGATCATGTCCTAACTGAGCTTATTTTGTTTTCGTAGATTTTCTGAAACTATATAATTTGATTTTCTTTTTTCTTGCTTATCACACATCTTCTAACTCAGAATTTTTCTTTAAGAGAATTTCCAGAAACAGTTCAATTTGATTTTTTTCTATCTTGCTCATCAAATGTCCTAGCTCAAATTTCTTTCAGAAATTTTCTGAAACAGTTCAATTTAAGGATCCATTCTCATGGTTTTGAAGATTTTTCTGCTTCTTCTGCAGCTTATTCTATTTCTTCCTGAAGATGTTCATTGTCTTTATCCAACATTATCTTCTCTCATTCAGCTCCATGATTTCTTGCTCATGTGGTTTTTTTTTGTTGCTTCTTTTTTGCACGCTTGTTGGGTGATTACGTTTTGCTTGTATTTTCACCTCACAGATTTACAATATAGAATCATGTTTGGGGTAATCTGTACATTTCCTATTCTACAGCTTTCGTGACTGCATCATGGATTAACCCTCTGAGAAATATATGTGACCTCCTTCTTGTTAACTACAGCGAGATTTGAATTTACAAAAACATTTTCAACTTTAGCCCTTCCATACAAAAGTACCAGCACCACTTTGATAATAGATCACACAGTTCTAGATACTTTTATTTTCCTTTCAGCTGTTCAGAAAAAACAAAGTAAGAAAGAAAGAAAAGAAAAATGTATCAAGTGCTATTTTCCCACTGGGATGACCATCAAGTGCTTGAATTGCCTTTGTGCATCATCACACTTTCATTTAGCAAATGTTTTAACCCAACAAAGTATTACAGCATTCCTCTTAATTTCTTCTCTCGCTCTGCTGGATTCTTTGCCATTTTAGATGAACTGAAGCAAGAAGCGTGTTGAACAAAACTAACTCTAACAGGAGTCTTATCCAATAACTTCTTGAATAACTTGAAATCTGAACTAATGTGATACAATTATTGTGAATTAGATTTAAATGATAAATAAATATGTACAATACCTTTCTGTAACAATCTCCATTACCTTAGTGATAATAAAATAAATAGATAATATGTATATAATATACCATAGCATATTTTAATATTCCTTAATTCAGATGAAGAACAAAATCATAAAGAAAATGTCTGCCAGTATAAATTAAAAATCACGATTGTACTTGTGGCCGAAGATGTTGAGAAGCATCTTTTCTTCTAGCAACATATTACTGAGCTAAGCTTTTAATCATTTTGTTCCAATGTCTACACGATTCTCTGCTGAACTGTAAACAATACTGATTTACACAGTTGAAAAGAACAGAAGTAGCTTTCATGGTGAGTTTAGATCACGAATATATGACTTCTCAAAGCTAAGATACACGTAATTACATTACATCATTACAACCAAGGTGAAGAAACCATAATTGCCAAAATTGATAAATCTACATTTGTATTAGAGTTATAAAGTTCAATTTGGCTCTGTTTTATTTAAAAATATTTTGAAATTTTTCCTAGGAGGATACAAATGCCATATAGATATAAGAAAAAAATTCAGGAAATTCACAAATACTAATGTTTTCATTCTGAACATGTTAAAATCAAACCAAAATATTAGAATTTTTGAAAATTGGTATGTACAAAACTAAATAAATAAAACTTCTCTTTGGATAAATTTCATATCTGAAGTTGTTTTCCTTAATGCCTGGAAGAACCAATACAATCAATTTTGTATAATTTTTATAATTCAATGGTGCAATTTTGCCCTCAGGGCAGAGTTGAGGTATGTTGTATTGCTGAACAGTCTTGGAGTAATTAGCTAAATTATTAAAATTCTTGAGGAATAGAAGTTTGGATAATGATGTATATGAATACATAAATTCACTTGACTACATGAGTGCAAGCTGTAATGTAGAATAATTTTCTTGCCATGCCACTTTACTGTGCAAAATTGTAAGTTTTGTATGGTTTTGGCATGGCTTGATGGTTTTAGGGCACTCAACTTGCAATATATGGGTCATGGGTTTGAATCCCTGTCAAAATAGTCGTCATGATCTTTGACTACCTATTTTGTTATTATTCTATGCAACATTTATACAGCTTTAGAATACACACTATAACCTAGTAACCCATGTATGCCATCTCATAAGAAAAGTAAACAAACAAGTACAAGGAAAACAATTTATCACTAAATATGAAAGCTATGTAGGGCTGGCTACTGAACTTGAAAAATGGAACCAAACAAAACAGAGCTGGAAGTGGACATATCCCTATATTACTGTATTCCTCACTGACAAACAAATAGAATCAGAATTTCAAATCTTAAATTATTACTGTATTTTAAAATACTCATAAAAGTGGTATTCTAAAGTTAACTGAAGGAAAGGTATACTGATGAAAGCTGAGATTCTATTCAAACACCAAGCTTTAGACAGAAAAAGTGGGGAAGCCAGTAATGAAGGGATTTTATTCTCTATGTAAAGTCAAGATAACTTAGTCTCCTATGTGATCATTAGCCAATCAAGTGAAATGTTCACTTCTATCCCTATCTTGTTTGGTTCCTTTTTCAACTTCAGTAGCCAGCCCTATATAGCTTTTTATTTAGCAATAAATTGTTTTCTTTATACTTGTCCAACATAAAAACTAAAGGACACATTATGGCAGAAATTTTAGAGAATACTTTGATATATAAATTTATTTTTCAAGTGATTTTGTGATTTTTCAAGCTTTGTGCAAATCCTATCAGGTATACAGACTTTGCTAAAGCAGTATTACACCACATAAAGAACGCAAAGAGAAAAAGCTTGACAGTTTGTGGATACAAGTAAGCTACAATTATTTGTAAAGTGAGAAACAAATTTTAACTAATTATGCTCTTTACTACTTTTAGGAGTGCTAGTTCTAGAAGAATGAGATGATTCCAAAGAACGTTTATATTATTTATTTTCAAATAATGTAGTATAATTTCAACAATGTGAAAGATGCAACATTTTTCCAAAATAGCTGAACTTATTAAAACAAATACATACTTCATAAAAATTGGTTACCTTTAAAACTTGGCAACATAATTGTATTTTTATATTTTTTGGAAGTAGTATTTACTTCAAGAGTAAGTTCTAAGATTTTTGTTCAAACAACTGAAACAAGTGTTTAACTGCCCTTAAACAATAAACTTGAAAAAACAAACAAACTTGGATCATCAAGAGGATTGAAGCCGAGGATAAGAAAATAGAACACAGAGACAGCCATTCTATGAGGCACTTTTCTATAAAGTAATTTTTATCTTTCTAATAGTGTATACAATAGAAGCTGAAAACAACTCATGCTGGAACTGGTTTCTTGAGTATCTAAAAGGCAAGGAAGAAAAAATAATCACCAGTTGCAATAAGTCAAAATCTTAATAATATGCTACTGTAATCCTTACTATAAATATTATACTGCATAATTTTCATGTTTTCACACTGTAACTGTAAAGTTGTAGACCTACTTTTCTCAAGTGCTACATGACTGTCTCAAAAATTGTGGTTTTTACACATTTATTTAAAAAGTAAATCAAAAATAGAAAGGGCAGTAACATTTAATGCTCTACTTATAGTTGTTAATTTCATCCAACACAGAATGTTCAATTAAAGTTAATAACATTTTTTTCTTTACATCTGCAGATAAATTTGATATCATATGGTTTGTTTGCAGTTATGCACAAAGCTACGCAATGGACTATCTATACTCTGCCCACCACGGGTATCAAAACACGGTCTCTAGCGTTGTAAGTCCACAGACATACCGGTGTGCTACTGGTGGGGGGTGGACAATATCATATGGAGCTGGTGTGTGTGTGTGTCTATATATATATATATATTAATGTTATGATAAAACAAACTTAAATAAAACAATAAAATCCCACCACTTTACCTAGGATTACAGCACAAAAATGAAAACAATATCTTAGGTTAACAAAGCATACAATTCTAATAACTAGCAAAAGATAATAAATGTAAGTCTCTTGAATAAACATGATAATTTTCTCCTCAAAACAAGTCCACATATCAAATTCCATGTTACTGAAATAGAATTCATAGTGCCATGCTTGCCATAAGAGAAATAAACAATAATCTTAAACATGAACTTTATATCTGATTTTAAAACTACTTCAGAATAAGCCTAGATAACAGACTAGTTGTTCTGATGTTCCGCATTGTGTTATGGAAAAATAATACAGTTAAAGTTCTAAAAGTTGAATTGTAAGTGCTTTACCATATAGACAGTTATCTAGTGAGCTTTTCATACTACAGTTTAAGTGAAATAGGTAGCAGGTAGTAAGTATGTACCATCAATGGAAAGCTATATTTTATTAACGGACAGTTTCTCTGCCAGAAGAGACCTTACCGTCTGTCCAAGGGTCGTATTTTGTTAAACGCCATGTGATAACCAACTTACAACATATTATCATGAAATTATTCCTAAAATACTTCACACTGTTCCTTTTATGTTATAAATAATGAGTTTAACAAGCCTACAATTCACTACCATCAACATTTTACACATCACAGATAATTTTCATGCATTTATTCTTACAAGTCAGACCAGTTTAACATCTACTGTATAACTACAAGTTTTTGAACAACAAAAAGAGAGACTAGTTCTTACTCGTCTAATGGTCTAAAAACCACAACATTTCTCATACTTATTCAATGATATAGTTACTAATATAATCGGCCTCTTCACACGTAAAGAATAGTTCTTGAATTGAACTTGAAAACATTTGTTTTGGCTTTCTTACAGCACAGTTGAACAATATTTTTTTGAGAGACTAATCATGACAAAAGCATAGAAAAACTTACTTTATTTTCGAGGCCACTGTGCTTCTTTATCTGTTAAAGGTACATAAATTACACCCATCAAAGATTTCTTCTTAATCTCTCCACTAGGTAATTTATCTATTTGCTCTAAAAGTTGATTATGATGTTCTTTTCCCACAGGTACTATTAGTCGACCACCAGGTTTAAGTTGTGCAACCAGCTGGATGTAATTTAAAATGTGTGTTTAGTGGTGAACAGAGGTATGGAAACTTTAAAGAAAGTAACTGTGTTCAATACACACAAAAGCACCAATTATTTTATACCCTCTTTTTATTACTTTTATTTAAAAACAAAGTAGAAGTGTATAACAGGATGTCAGCTAAGTATGAACCTGAATTACACTACAGTTTACAGAAAAGAAGTGTGGAATATCAGCTTATTAACACATATTCTCCATCTGTAAAACTAACATCTTATGTTTGTATTTCAGGTGACAATATTGCTACACCATTACCTTGGTGCCAGGAATGTTACTAATCTAATTAATTGGAAATAAGACTATTATGGTTATGTAGATTTCTTTGAATCTGAATTTTTCAGCTGTCAAGTTTTTAGGTAATTAAATACATATTTGTAAACATACTGCTACAGAGAAAATCAGTTTACAATTAATAATTTAAAAACAACAAAATAAATGTCATGGGATTTGTGTATAATTTTGTTATACTGGAAAACTTACTTATTGCAAACAATAGTTTAAGGCTGCTCAGCTTTTCAACTAAATCTAGTATACTCAATGTTTTATTTAGAACATACAAGTATGAAAACATATTTTCAAACAAAATTACATTTAAAAGCATATAATGACTCAACATATGATACTCTCTGTTATCAAATTAGGCTGATGAGAACTCTTACTGGTCTAAAGTGGAGTTGTGGAATTAAGTAGTAATGATTTCATCATTAAGATCCAAAGTTACTTCACATTGCAACTTAATACCATGTTCTGTGGTGACACCTATCAAAAGCTAGTCAATATTTCTCAGCACCTCACAAAATGTCCTAAAAATTTTTGTGTTCCATATATAAATCTACAAACTTTGACACTTATTTAAATACTAAAATAAAAAATAGTTTTTTGACTGCTAATATCAGCAAATGTTATCCAAAAACTACAAAACTAGTAGCTGAGGTAATTAATCATGAAACATGAACTACTTAATTTTTAAATTAAGTAAAATGTGAAGATATTTGTTTATCAACAAGTTTTTAGTATTGTTACATCTCTGTTCATTTGTTAATTTCCCGCAGAAATTCTTTCCGAGAAACTTCAGCGATACAAGTCCTTTCTTAATTAAAATTAGTTTATTCTTTCTCAATACAACTTTGCAATACACAGAATTTCCACAGTCACTTTAAACTTAACTACTTTATATTACCATCACTACCGCTCCCTTGACTCATTTATCTGTCTCTATATCTATCTATCTGCAATTATTTGCCGAGCTTATATACTAAAATCGAGGGTGCCTGGAAAAGACTAGTGTTGCCAGGCAAAGTCATGATCCCTCGAGAATCTCATGACGTGTTATCAGCGTCATGCGACTTCCACTGTCCTAACAATAGTAAAATTTATTCCTTAAATTTAGTTTTTAATAGATCTGACTGGTAAGTAAAAACTTTACCAGGTGAAGAAAAGGGAGAGTTATTCAATTATAGGACTTATAAATAGAAAAAAAAAAGTATATTTTTAAACAACATGGAAAAATTTACATCATCTGGTAGCTGAGCAGCAGCTGCACCAACATGGATTGCACTGTAGGGACCTTCACTTGGATAACCTTTTCTTCCATCACCAACTATACAAAATGTTAATGCACTTATCACTCTTAATAAAACATAAATTAATGTTAGAGAAAACAATATATATATAACATTAAAAATGATTCAAGCATTAGTTACACCATGTGTTAACAAAAAAGTTCTATTCAACACATCTCAATACTTTATGAAAGCTATTACTAGTATCATAAGTATTTAGTACATGAAGCTTTATTAGTAGCATAAGTCTCTATATAACATATCACACTGAATGGTTCCTTCGTTTGTGACATTTGAAAGTGACTTTAATACATTAAACCAAAAATAAACAATATATGTTATTCAACAAACGATAACATTTATTAAGCAGCTATAAAATATGACAGTATATCCCAAATTTTCTCACGAATACTGAATATAATTTTTCACACAGTATTAAAGATTATTCACTAATAGAATATTTTGAAATATGTATAGTATACAGGGCAATACATTATACATAAACTGATGACATGTACGAGATGCAGTTGTGACAAACAATACTCATTATTGGTATAAAAATTTAAGTAAGAAACTGACCAATTTAACTCACCTTGGATGTGTGAAACTATACATACTGTAACCTTGAATGGACTGTGTTTATCTTCACAACATTTGGGAAATTTTTCATAAACATTATAAGTCTGTTGTATACATAATAGAAGGTTTTTAGTCAAGTACTTCTACTATTGATTTGTCTCTGAATTTATAAAGCCTCTACTGAGTCAATCTGAGCAAAAGTGATTTTCTTGCTAAAGAATAAACATTCTTTACATCTAATGGTTTTCATATTTCATACTTGTATCCTCTAGAACCTCCTAAATGAATATCAAGCTTTAATATCCTGGCTCAAACTCTAATCTTTTACTTAAATTAACCTGTTGAAATTTCAAATTTTCTCAAGTGTCACTTTGAGCCCTAACAGAAAACTCTCTTGTTGTTTCTTTTGTTTTGGTTTAAATCTCAAAAAGTTTGTCAGTAAAACTTTATTTTTCCTAACATTAACTTTAGTGAAATTATAATGTACAGTGAAATGAGAAGTTAAAGAATATGAAATAAAGTGAATAATACTCCCCCCCTCCACAAACACACACACAGATATATATATATATATAAAGTACACAAACTGATTAAATTTGCTCACAAGTTTGAGTTCCTATGCTCATAAAATTTTTAATTAATTGTTAGTAACTGATCATAGAAGTTTATAATTTTACATTTTAGTTACTTGTATTAAAAATACATAAGAATAAATACAAATTATACATAAAAACATGAAATTGAGCACTTACTTTAGGCATTGAAGCACATTTGCACTCAGATGCTGTGTTTCAGTAACCTACTTTTTTCTCACTGTGTTGTCCGCAAAGTAATTTATATAACCTTCAAATATACATCTTAGAACACAAAAAAATACATCAGGCACTACTGTAATTTATCTTACTTGCTAACTATGCTATAAATATGTTAAAAAACTCTATTAGTGCTAGAAGCAATGACTTTCTTCGACACAGGTTAACTGTTAAACACAAATTTTCAAGATTCCTGTACATTATAATACGCTGTTTCTATTGGTTATAAACCTGTCCATCAGACAAGTAGACAACTGATATTAAACGTGATTAGATGGGTGGGACTTCTCTAGTGGATTTTACAAATTTATTGACATCTCAGTGAATCAAGATAGTGGGAAGTTCAAATTATATATCTTGTATGTATGTGTTTTTAATTAGTTGTAAGCCTCAGCAGTATATTTTGATGTTAGAAATTTCTGAAAGGAAGAAATTGAAGCCAGATGCATCACGTGACACAGAAGAGAGAAGACTGACTTTTTTTAATATTTTCTTTTGAAATTAAGAAATTAAAACTTAAATAATATTAAAAGATGAATTATAAACTACATTTTGATGCAAAGTTTACTGTGATAGATTGATAATAAAGTTGTTTTAATTAAATTATGAATGTAATTCTTTAAAACATCATAATATGTGCACTTTAAATCTGTAGCTAAATCATCAATATACAGTGAAATGAAATTTTAAAATTATGAAATAAAATGAACAATAACATTTTCCCTTCTTCTTTGAAGCCAACACTTTAGCATATTGTTGCTTTTTTAACCCATTCGAGACGGGTCACGGGTGAAATGCCATGTCATCTCGTTTGTTGATTCACATTCAAAATTTTATTGAACTACTACTTCATGGAATTTATGTCAATAAGTTTGGTATCAAACTGTAGATTATAATAAAATTTTGTACTATATATTACCCAATTTCTTAATTTAAAAAGCAAATATTAAAAAACATAGATAACCATAGATTTTT